TCTTCCTTGGCGCTCTCGTTTTCTCAAGCTTCTTTCAATGTTTCCTTACATTTAAATTTGGGTACATTTTAATTCAACTACATTGATCAATATGGTCTTAATCACCTTCTCTCGCAAAGCTGTGATATTTGATTCTAAGATCCCTCTCTTACTAATACCCGTGAACAAACTCACTGAAGGGTATACAGGCAGAACTGATATGTTCACAGTTTTTTTCTTCACATCTTATATTGGCACCTTCTTCTAATAATATATTTTTTTTGCAGACTTTTTTAGTGTGGCAGCTCGTCTTTTCTGTCATTTTACTAGGTAGAAGGTACTCGTTGAACCAAATTGCTGGATGCGTTATTATAACAGCCGGTGTAGCGGTGGCTGTTGGAAGGTATTGTCTCTTTATTCAGAATGTATATTTTGGCATTTGCATGTGCTTAAGAAATCAGATTAGCTGATTAAACAATTAGAGATGATGTCAAATTTGGGTTATCTTAATGATTATTTCTTGATAATTTAAAATGTTCTGAATCTCATATTTCCCTGTACTTTCTGTGTTTCTTGGCTGATTCATGATTGGGTTTCAAGAATCGCAGGCCATTAAAATCGGGTGTTGTTGTTGACGATAGTGTATTTGGAAGTGCAAAGTCAAGTGTCGATGCAAAATTTCTTGTAGGCCTAGGTGATATAATTGCTAACTGAGTACCATAAACTTCTCAAGGAGATGTAATTTTACTTCCTGATAATAGTGATAAACCGGCATCTTCTATGTCTGTTTACTGGAAGATAATTTTGTGACTGAGAGCGCTAGGGAACCCTCCAAAGCATTTGGAGAGCAGGGCTTCATTTCTTTTCTTAACACTGCTGAACCCAACCCACCAAAGAAAAAGGAAAAATGAGTCTACCACACCAAGAAATAAGGAAATGAGTCTACACTTCATTCAATGGTTTTCTTCTCCTAATTCACATCCTCCGGAAAAAGATCCCTTAAATCCCTGTCGAGAACTGTAACTGTAAGCCACTTTGCACAAACACAGAGAAACTAAAAAAGCAATAGGTTAGCATATATGAGAGTGCATTTTGAATGGGAGTGAGTCTACCACACCAGGAAATAAGGAAATGTTTGCATGTACCCTACTTGCGAATGAATTTTTTTAATCACAATTGACAAAAATATGATGAGTTTAGAATTGCCTCCTAGATTACTGTCCAAATAATGTAACAGATCCTTTTATAAGGCTCCAAATTTCTAACTTGTAAGGCTTCCTCCAATGCTGGATCAAGTAGATTTGAACCTATCTCACCATCAATTTTGAGAGGTTAACTTAGAGGTCAGGGCTTAAAAAAATCTGAAGGATTCTACGAGGTTCACATACTTTTCCATGTTGAACTCAAAACAGTTCCATAATTGCTCCCATTATCTGTTCTAACAGGAACATTTTTTTTTTTTGTAGTTTCTGGGGCGTTTTGTACTTTTATTACTGTCCATGAAATATTTGCTTCTTACACACACACACACACATCTATTATATAAAATACCTGCACTTAAGAATATTGTTCTTTAATTTATAAACCTACGTAGCAAAATGTAATTTCTCTCGTTAATAAATTTTTTTCAGACATGGAACTTAGGCTCTCAACAGTGATATGTGCCTTTCATTATTTCAGTGGGTCTAATGCAGGCCAAATGCTGTCTGGAGTTCCACCTCTATGGCCAGCATTAATGGTAGCTTCTAGCGCTTTTCAAGCTGGTGCCTCAATTATGAAGGTTGCGATGGTCATTTAACGTTGAATGTGCAGTTGGAATATCTATTGGAATGGACACTGACTTTGTATTTATGAACAGGAATTTATCTTCATTGATGCTGCAACCCGTCTTGGAGTATGAAACTTTCTTCTATAATTTCCAAATTTGTAGCTATTTGAGCATTTCATTTCTTAGGCTGTATCCTAGAGGTGAGTAATATTTGCTCTTGTTTTCCCGAATAATTTAATTTGTTTGGCTTGTAGGGGAAGTCACTAGACATTTTTGTGGTCAATTCATTTGGATCTGGATTTCAGGTTAGAATTTCAGTCATCTTGAATTTCTGAAGTTTACTTGTCTGGCTGGGCAACAGTCTTGTATTATATTCAAGTATTATTTGCAAAGATCACACAATAATTATGTTCTCGATTTTTTTAAATCACGTTCAAGAGAAATGCTTGGGTTTATGGATAAACTCATTTCTTGAAATCTCATATTCTGGTCTATTTATTGTTGAGTTTCAACAGTTGACATTCACGCACAGGCACTTTTTGTACTTCTCTTTCTACCATTTCTTTCCAACATGAAAGGCATACCTGTAGCCAAACTTCCCTCATATCTGATGCATGGTGCTGGTTGTTTTCTAAATGTTGGTGCTGAAAGACCAGGCAAGCTCTTACAACCTTAATGATCTTACACACTTTGCTATTATCATCTTACATTGTTATGGATACTAATTATGATTTGGTTTTTATTCATCATAGATATGATGTGTTAATTGTATAACCAGACCGTTTATTATGCGTCCAAAATGAAGAGTTGCATTATATTTCTTTACCTCTGATTATTAGAGCGCCCTGTAAGTTGGTAACTCAACCTTAACTATAACTCTATTCAAAATGAATCTAAACTCAAATAGACCGCCTTTTGTCAGACAAGGAAATGAATTGTCAAGGAATTGAAGGAATTGTGATATTGTTTCTACTTAAGAAAGAGCTATTGAACCTAAACCTCGGTTTTTTTTCTTTTGCTTTCAAGACTCAACAAATGAAAGAAATAGAAGCTCATTCGCCTGAATTCATTTGATTCTTCTTTTCTTCTATTCCCCTCTTTGATTTCACTTAAGATTGAAGAAGAAAGATTCATTGTCAAGCCTCTCAGGTGGGAGAAAGCGGTATTCTTACATTTTTTACGAACTTTCACTCTTAGGAAGATCTTTCTTGAAAAAGCTCTCATAGCTGAATATGAAATACATAACTATCCACATCATTTTCTTAAGATTTCATGCGTGTATCCAACTCTGAGAAAGGATCGTAAGCGTAAATCAATGTGCTAGTGACTCCCGTTGGCTTGAATGGATTCCTTGAAATGATGAATTAGCTTCTTCGACTCATAATAAGATTTGGGTTTTGCATTTGAATAGAAAAACGCCTAGCCAAAACTAATGGTATATGCACTATTGTATGCAGGTTGTGGAGGAGCTCCATTGCTCCCACTGCTTTACGTGGTTACAAATTTATCTTTCAACATAACTTTGCTCAGCTTAGTCAAGAAATCCTCCGCGGTCATTTCTTCTCTCGTTGTGATGCTTTCAGGTACTTTTTTTTTTCTCTGTTGAGTATATGAACTAATATTAGACATTGTTATATCATGTGCATTAGCTAAAGGTTGGTCTTGTTGGCATTGCAGTGCCTGTTTCAATCTATATTCTATCACTTCCATTGCCATATCTACCACAAGGCGCAACCTTAAGCCCCCTCTTTCTCACTGGGAGTTTGATGCTCGTGTTGGGTCTTGCTCTTTACTACAGTCCACAGCGTACGAAGTAAGCAGAGATTGGTTGTCGTTACTACTACTCGACTCGGCTTGTAGAATCGTCACGGTGGCTTGACTCGTTCACATCTTCTGAATTAGAAATTGTAAAAATCAGTGAAGGAAATGTAGTCTATGAACCACCATTGAGTTTGACGCCAATTTGTTGCCAGTTCTTGGAGTTATATAGAAATTTTGTATCACAACTTTCAAGTTGCTATTTGGAGTTCAATGCATTCCTCTGAGTTCTAGCTATTATGGCTGTTAGTATGCCGTTTAAGATAAATAATATCACAACTTAAGTTTAAGATAAATAATATCACGACTTAAAAAAGCAAAAGTCATCGATAATTAACGACCAAATTGAGTATAAGCCATTAGATGTAATATCGACTCAAATCAATAGATTAGAGGTTTGAATCTCTCTACTTTTAAATATTCTCAACTAAACAAAGAAAAATGTTAAGCATTCCAATTGTAAGAGCGAAGCTCTACCAACTGAGCTATATCCTCCGAGTCAAGTGGGACCTGCATGAAGGACCCCGAGCCAAGTGGGACCTGCATGCAGGAGTCAGATGCTTCTTCTATTCTTTTATTCTTTTCCTTGGCATAGCTGGGCCATCCCTGGACTTGAACCGGAGACCAATCATCGCACCTAAGGTCCAACCAATTGGGAGAGAATCAATAGATTCCTTTTCAGGAGCGACTCATCATTCCCAAATGCAGCATACAACTCTCCGTTGTACTGCACTCTCCAAATGACGTAGATAAATGAATTTCATCCAAACATTGAATTTTTTTAACATAATCTATAAGTCCGAACTTGTCCATGTCTTAATATAAGGATAATGTTAATTTTGATTGAAATTTATGGGAAAGTATTATACTCTTTTTAATTATTAATTTTTAGAACAAGTAGCGATTTTTATCTTATGATCCTAATACATTTTTGTTTTAAAAAATAAGAAAATATTGTACGAATCAATTACATTTAATAAACTATTATAACTTATAGTACTAAAATATATATATATATTTTTAAACTTTAAATTAGAAATTTTTGGACAAATTTTAACTTGCATAAAAATTGGATTTGAAATTAATTTATAATTTTTAAAAATATATAATATATAATATATATTATGAATGTAATTTGGCGGCGAGTTGATGGAGCATATGGGGAAGCAGCGGGTAAAGAAGGTTCCCGCCACGAAATCTCAACTTCCAAACTCGACGTTGACAAACGAATCCATCCCTCGCTGTCTGAGCAGGACACGTGGCCCATTTAAAATCCTCCACGTCGACAAATTCAGCACTTTTCCCGATTTTCAGACCTCGGAGCTCACGGACATACCGTACTCTAACCGCATCCGATTCCCACCTCTCCCTCTCCCGCTCCACATATTTTCGTCGTAAGAACAATCAAACCGCCGAAAAAAAAGAAGAGGAAAGGAGAAGGCTAACCAGTCCATTTCTCTGTTCACCGAGCACTTCACGGATCGGATCTCTGCCAATCCTATTAATGGAAAACTTCCGATCTCCTCGCCGTGAAGACTCAGTCGTATACTGGATTGTTCCTCAATTTTGGACTTCAGTTCTAGGATTTAATTATCTGATGTTTACGTTTTGACATCAAGTTATGTGCACTCGTTGCACTCTGCTTAATTCGTCGGAATTTGATCACCTGATACTCTCCCACGCCTTTTCCGATTCCACCACTCTCTCTATCAGCCATGGCGGTTCCGTCTTTCAAGTTTCTATTCGGATTCTTCATCGTTTTGATTATACTATGGCTGATTTTCATGTGAGTACCTGAATTACATTTGTGGTTCACTGGTTTCTACCTGATTGTGTCGATCGATTTCGTTTTCTTCGTACGCTAAATGCCATTGCACTTTATGGATATTGGTTGATTCAGTTGTTTATTGCTATTCTTATTTTTCAAGTAGACTCTATAATACGTATGTCTTTTTCCTCTGGTTTGGTAAGGGTGGGGGATGTCATTGAGACATATTGTTGATTCATTTATCCGGCATAAAATGCGAGGGAGTAGATATGTCCTTTTTAGCTTGTCATATGGCTGGGCTCCTGAACTTTGCAATACAAGCTGAATTTCTCGCATAAAAAAGGAAGGCCTGTGGGTTGGGTAGTTAAATGAAACAATGCTTTTCGTTGATGGAAGGAAACCAATACAAACTTCTATTCTGAGATAGGAAAAACAGCCCAAAAAATTCCGAAAAAGGATATATTGAACATCAATCACAATTAAGATTAAGCAGTTCTTTCTAAGATGTTAAGGAAACCAATTTCAAAGTCATCAAATAACACCTCCCAGATCAGAACCCACCAAACTGATTGGATGAAAAAATCAAGTCAAAGTTTGATCCTCCTACACGTAACATTTGTACAAGCATGTATGAGAAGTAATTTAGGCTCCTTAAGAAATTGATTGATCTTTTATTTCTTTTGAACAAGAAACAAAACATGATTAAAAGGTGAAGTACAAAAGTCCCAACTATAGGAACTGTAGACAAAGAACAAAAATATAATAAAAGGGGGAAAAAACTAAACGTCCTAAAAGTCCTCCAGTTCGAACATATATCAGAGGATGAGTAGTTGACATCATTTGACTGCATCGAGCTCTCTGTAGAAGAATCTTTTGTTATATATGTTTAGTGGAAGCTAGCTAGATTCAGACACACAAGTAGATAATGGAAATAATTAAGCATGGCATTCAGAATAGTCATGCTAGTGGAGTCCTGAGCGAGGAATAAGGTTTTGTCATTTATAGAAATTTATCCATCTGTCATGTGACAATTCTGTTACTGATTTGTGGTTATATTTAATTGTTTTGATCTCTCCACGATCTTATGATTCTATTCCAATTCTCAATAGACAGATAAGCATTCTTTAAGATTCCGTCAATATTGATTATCTCAATTTGGATTCTAAGGGATTCTTATTCCTCATAGCAATAAAACTTCTATTGTTTTTCAGGTTTGCTTCTAGATTGGTGGCTTTGATTTTGAGCAAGGTTGTTGGAGCATCAGTAGCATTTCGTGTTGGAGGGTGGAAATCTTTAAAGGATGTTGTGATCAAGTTCCGGAAGGTTTCATTTATATTTGGAAGCTTTAAAATTTCATTTAATATTTAATTATATGATTTTGTAAAGTCTAGGGATTCAAGAAAAACAACTTGCTCTTGGAAAGCCTCATGCCCTTTCGAGAATATGCTAGTATTAGTAACAGGCATTAGCCTTCTGCCCTCACGTCTAGCTTTGTGCATGTGTGCATTGGTTAAGAAATCTGGGGAGGGTACTATTGTCAAATCTGAACAAATATGGTTAATTCAATCTTAATTTATTTGAATTATTTAGTTTTGCCTAATGGTCTACAAGTGAAGCTTTTCTATCAGATTTTTTCTTAAAAAAAAAAAAAAGAGTTTAGAGGAGGTGTCATTAATTTGATGTGGTTCTTGACCATCCAGTCCAAAAAAGTTTAAAATGCACTATATGAAGGTTCTCAAAAACAGTGACATCACTGCTTGCTAAGTTAGGACATTCTGCAATGCAGATAGATTTCTTTTTTCCTGTGACTCTACTTTATTAGGAGATCATTGCTCAGATAGAATTGTGAGATTTTTATTGTTATCTCATTTTAACTTCAGGGTGCAATTGAATCAATATCAGTTGGTGAAATTAAATTGAGTTTGCGCCAGTCCCTTGTCAAACTTGGCGTGGGCATTATTTCTAGGGATCCGAAGCTACAGATATTGATATGTGACTTAAAAGTTACTATGAGGCCTTCAGTTAAAGGTGTGCCAAAGTCGTCTAAGCCTCGGAGTTCCCGCCCTAAAGGCAAAGGAAAGTTGATGGTTGTAGCCAATATTGCAAGATATTTGTCAGTTTCAATAACAGATTTGGTTCTAAAGGTATGCAAAGTTCTGAGACTAATGTTTGCGATGTTCTTTATGATTTTTAGGTTGAAACACATGATTCTTAAAGGTCCTGCTATATTTGTAGCTAGAACGTTCTAGAATTGATCATTTGTGCCTTTTTGTCTTCTATTAATACTAGTTTTGGTTAATTTGTTACTCTTATAGTTTCTTTTGCTCCTTGTTGTTTGTGCAATTGGATCTTGAAAATTGCAGACTCCCAAAGCTACCATTGAAGTCAAGGATTTGAGCATTGACATATCTAAAAGTGGTGGAGAAGCAGCAAATTTAGTTTTCAGGTTACAAATATTGCCCATATCTGTGCATCTTGGTGAACCACGAGTTAGTTGTGAACAATCATCCAACTTGAAAAGTGAGGGATGTATATCTGCTGTCAATTCATCTTTTGCCACTACGGATAAATCTTCTGCTCCTTTTATTTGTGAAGAATTTTCTGTGTCTAGTGAATTTGGACCTGACAGGTACTTCCATTTGCCATTTTCCTATCATTTGTGGTTTTCTTTTGGTGTTTGATTCTCATTATTGTGATCTACAAAAGCAGTGTCTGTTAGAAAGCTTACATTTTTATTTTATTTTATTTTATTTTGTGACTTAGGGAAGCTGGTATAAGTGTGAAGAATATTGATATCGCTTTTGGAGAGGTCAATTTAAACTTGAATGAGGAGCTATTTTCAAAAAGCAAGAAGGAAACGGACTCTTCTTTTCCTTCTGATAAAACTGTAGAGTCAACTGCTGATTCTCAACCTACAGTGAAGCCCCAGAAGAAGCAACCACTTGCATCTCTTTCGAAGTATACCTCTGTTTTCCCAGAAAAGGTTGTATTCTGATTGGGTACTCTTTGTTTATATCAGTAAGCATTTTAGTATTTGAGTGGTTTTCAGTCTCATGGCACTTTTCTATTGATTAAGTTTTCTTTTTAGGATATAAAAGCAGAGCAGTTCACTAGATTTTCCTCATGTGCATATATATACATAGGTGTTCTTTGTCCATTAAGTTTTGTATTACAGCTTTATACATATTAATCTCCGTTGGTACTCTTTCTTGTAATCCTTTGGTTGTTTGAGTATAGCTCATTCCTTGTTTTGTATGAGCCCCTTTTTTGTGATATAGATTCGCTTTTGATAAATATGTGAAGTGTACAATATGGAAAGAATCCTTAAGATCTTTCGATCTTTTTTTTTTTTTAAATAAGAAAGGGTTGTGTTGCTTGGTTCTGTAACTATTTATTTGTTCCAATTCAGAATCTGAATTTTTGAACTTTGAGGTAGTTAATAATTTACAGTAAGCACATAATTCACATCCTTTTTTAGTCTTTGATGATAATGTGTAGGCTCTATTGCAGTTCTGTAGCTCTTTTTCTGGTTGAATTTATCACAGCACAATGATTTATAAAGTGAAACTAAAGCGAGTGGTTCTTTGATAGGTCTCCTTCTGCCTTCCCAAACTGAATGTTATGTTTGCGCATCGTGAGCACGAGCTTGTTGTTGAAAACAACATAGTGGGCTTTCAGTTTAAGATAATCAAATCACCCTGCTTAGAGGATTCAGGAGAGACTGCACGTCTTGATCTACAAATGGAGTTCAGTGAGATTCATGTATTGTTTAAACTTTTGTTGTTTTGGAAACTTGCAGTTATTAATTTTTACATTGTCATGTTGCTTGACTGTTTTCTTAACCGTTTTTGGTGTGATCTCAGCTACTTAGAGAGGCTGACACTTCCCTTCTGGAGATACTGAAAGTCGATGTAGTGACCTTTGTTTATATTCCAATACAAGTGAGTATCCTTATTTACAAACTTCAGGTTGTTTATTTTCTTCACCTCGTGCATAAACATAATGTGTTCTTTGGTGTTTATTCAACTTTAACAAACGTTTGGTCTTTGTCTTGTCAAATTGTAGCTTAATGATTTCCTGTTAAATTAAGACATTTTCCTTATTTGTTCTGGCGGCATCAATTGAAATTTTAATATTATCTAATATAGCCTTCCTTTCTTGTAAAAGCCCACAAATGGTTGATCATAAGTTTTGACTTCCATAGTGGCCATAATTCAAACATTATAAGATGTTTGATGCAAAAAATGCAGCCCATGATAACCATCAAGCTCAATTCTCAGCTTCTTTGCTGCTTAATACCCTCAAATATGCTCCAAGCAATTGATTGACCACCTTATATTACACCATTTATCTAGGACTGATGTGCTGTACTCTTCCTAAAGGTTACTCATTTAAAAATAAAGCTACGTCCACCTGACTAGTTTTTGATAGCCTGTGATAGCAAAATTTAATGGAGAAGGGCTGAAACTTGATCTTTTGGAGACTTTCCTATGCCAAATGGAGAGATATAAGGATGTGTAGAAAGAGTTGCCATTGGAGATCGGAGACAGAAAGATTTTACCGTGGTCCTAGAGGTCTAAAAAGGCCATTCCCACTTGTTTGAGCTGCTAGTAAGCTTAACCTTTGGAAGGAGTGGGCAAAGGCTACCGCACTGCATAGTTCCATCACGTTTTAAGGTTTTTTGTGAATGTTATCACAAGACTTGCTAGATGGGTTCCATACCTCTCAGATAAAAGAGAGTGCTCAATTATTAGGTAGACCATGGAGCTTAAAAGAGCTTGTATAAAGGTGATTCGTCATCTCATCCCAAAGAACAATGCAAAAGGAGGTGACCATACATCATTGCCAACAAAGCAAATGGTCCCTACATTTATGAGTGTATCAATAGGTCTTTTGTGCTCCCTCACAACGTGCACAATCTTTTGGGCTTCTATTCTTGTGGGCATCCATTTAAAAATGAGAGTTTTATTTGAGATTTCATTTGGAGAGAGGTGGTTATGAAAAAGGCAGCCATCTTGTGAATTGGAAATGGGTGTCTTACTTCAAAGTTTAATGAGAACATTAAATACAAAACCATTGTCTTCCTCTCGAAATGGCTTTGGAGGTTTGCTGAAAAAGGAGATGCTCTTTGGAGGGAGTTAATCACCAATATTGATGGCGTGGACTGGATGGGATGGACTACAAAGGCTTTCCAGCATTCTGTACTAAAGCTCTTTGGTATTCAATTGCTAAATGTAAAAGCAGCTAGAAGGCAAGGTCATTTTTATGTGTGGTCACAACCAGAAAGGATCCATATAAACCAATTATCCAAGCGTTCTCTTGACTTTTTGGGCTATATTTCAAGTGTGCGATTAAATCCTTCAGTGGTATGGAGTCAGATGCTAGAAAATTCATTTCTAATAGATAATGCTACCAAGAAAATCGATACACTAGTTCCTATTATTACTCTGCTTGGATCATTGGCTAAAGCGAAATCAGAAAGGGAAACAATGTAAGATTTTGGGAGGATCTGTGAGTGTCTAATGCTACTGGAATGTCATGTGGCTCCAAATTATCTTGAAGATTGCTTGATTTGGAAGGGGAACTCTAGGAGAATTCACTTGTAAATCGCCACCTTTTTTCTGTGAAGAATAGTAATAAATTTTCAATTATCAGTAAAAAGTTTGTCAAAGAATCGCCACCTTGGAGAATTATTAGCCTTTCTTGCAGTGTTTTTATTAGCCTTTCTTGCAGTGTTTTCTTTCCCAGTTTGTAAGTTGAAGTATTGTGGTGCAGAGCAGAACTTTCAACTCATTTTCTGGATGTGGGTAAGCTTTGATAAATGTGAACAGTGAAGTTGGAAGCAGATCTAAGAAAATGTAGTTTTCACAACTTTTTTTAGCCCAAATTTGATCAATTGCCCATGTGCTCGCCAATGCATATGACATATTAATATATATATATATATATATATATATATATATATTCTTTATAAGAAACGGGAGGCTGTGTTAGCATGCCAAACAAAGACAGCCCGAAGGCCATAGGGACGAGATATCCTTTTGCTAAGGGGGCATTAAACAGAAGGCCTCCAGTCTTTGTGTTTCCACCTGCTTGAGTTGCTACCAAGCTTAGCCTTTAGGAAGATGGCATGTCAACGCAACACTTCTTTTTTTTTTTTTTTTTTTTGCAGATATAGTTTCCTTTACTCATATTTACTAAGCTGGAGTTGTCTGTTCTTTGTTGGTCTGTCCATATTCTGTAGTAGCTAAGTGACACCCATCATTAAGAGTCATTTTGGTTGAACTTTTTCTTTTCTTTCGCATGATTCTTGTATGTTTCAGCCAGCATCACCAATCAGGGTTGAAGTGGACTTAAAGTTGGGAGGTACTCGGTGCAACATAATAATAAGTAGACTGAAACCATGGCTGCGCCTCCATTCCTCCAAAAAAAAGAAGATGGTCCTGAAGAAGGAAAAGCCTTCTGAAAAGCCGAAGTCTTCTGAGTCCAAAGCCATCACGTGGACATGTACGGTATCAGCCCCGGAGATGACTATTGTGCTTTGTAGTACAAGTGGTTCACCGTTATATCATGTAAGTAATGTGCTTAGATCTATTGTCTTCCTTTTATCTTAGAATTATCAGTGATTCTAGTCTGTTCTGTGCTCTAAAATTCAATAATTCCTTGTAGACGAAATGAGATATTTATTCTGCAGGAATGACTGTCCTTTATAGGTTTCATTGCTTGATTTGCAAGCAATTGCACCGTCATTGTTGCTTGCAATCTTCTCTCTCTCTCTCTCTCTCTTTGCTCCTTTTTCATTGAGGGTTGATTACATGGATGAATATGATGACGTGGTGCATGCTACCGGTATTTTAGCTTGGTTTATATCCATTAGCACTGAAAAGTTGATTGAGTCGTAGGTGGCAGAAGTACTGCTTGCTTAAAATGATTTAATGGTGAGGGATGTGGGATAGTCTTAAACCACATTCTCATATTCACAAAATTTTTCCAATGCTCTAGATTAATGCACTGGAAATCTTAGAAAAGTTTGCCAAGGGAAGTTTCAAACTGACTGGTTTACTCCTGAATTTAAGTTAGCACTCCAATCTAACATAACCGTATTTTTCAGTTAATTACATGGATTCTTTCTTAAGTCTCATCTCTTTTGAGTATTTTGTTTCCTTTTCTGCATAGTTTATATTATTTAATCTTCCATTAGTTAAGCACTTTGAGCATATGCCATGCTCATTTGTTCATGTTGTCGCAGGGCTGTTCACAATCTTCTCATGTGTTCGCAAATAATAGATCAAATATGGGAGTTGCAGTACATATGGAGCTTGGTGAACTAAATTTGCACCTGGCCGATGAATACCAAGAACGCTTGAAGGAAAGCCTTACTGTGGAATCAAGTTCAGGCTCTTTGATACACATAGCTAAGATAAGTTTGGATTGGGGAAAAAAGGATATTGAACCGTCTGAAGAAGAGGGTCTTAGAAGCAAACTAGTGTTGTCTGTTGATGTGACTGGTATGGGTTTCTATTTTACATTCAAGCGTATTGAATCACTTGTTTCAACTGCTATGATTTTACAATCACTTCTTAAACAATTCTCTGGTTCCCGGAAGAAAACTACGCAAAGCCAAGGGGACCGTTCAACTAAATCATCTGGGAAAGGGACCAAACTTCTAAAACTCAGGCTTGAAAAATGCTCCATAACCGTTTGTGGGGATATTGATTTGGAGAACATGACTGTTGCAGACCCTAAACGTGTCTATTATGGATCACAAGGTGGTCAAGTTGTTATGACCGTCAATCCTGATGGCACACCCCGTTATGCAAATGTAATGTCTACGATGTCTGATGAATGCAAACGGGTGAATTATTCCATAGCTCTCGATATTTTTCATCTCAGTTTATGTGTGAACAAGGAGAAACAATCCACACAGGTAGAAGTTGAGAGAGTTAGGTCAATATACCAGGAGCATTTGGAGGAACATGGGAAAGATACAAAACTGACATTCTTTGACATGCAGAATGCTAAGTTTGTACGGCGTTCTGGTGGTCTCAAAGAGATTTCTGTATGCTCGCTTTTCAGTGCTACGGATATTTCAGTTGGGTGGGAGCCAGACGTACAGCTATCTCTTGTTGAACTTGGACTACAGCTGAAATTACTCGTGCATAACAAAAAGGTTCAGGGAGATAATAACGTATCTACTGAAGATGCTTCAAACACAAAAGATTCTGAACAAAAGACAGAAACCATCTCTGAATCTGGGCAGCCTGAGAAACAGAAGAAAAAGGAATCAATATTTGCTGTTGATGTGGAAATGTTAAGAGTTTATGCACAGGCTGGAGACGGAGTTGATGCAGTTGTTCAGGTTCAGTCAATTTTTTCTGAAAATGCACGTATAGGAGTACTTCTAGAAGGACTCTTACTTAGTTTCAATGGCTCCAGAGTACTCAAAAGTAGCCGAATGCAGATTTCACGTATTCCTAATGTGTCTACTGGTACGTGTGATATGAAAGTGCCAGTTACCACTTGGGACTGGGTTATTCAAGGTTTGGACATACATATTTGCTTACCTTACCGGTTGCAGTTGCGGGCCATTGATGACTCAGTTGAGGATATGCTGCGAGCTTTGAAGCTTATTACTGCTGCCAAAACATCTGTTATTTTTCCAATGAAGAAAGAAGGCTCAAAAGTCAAAAAGCCTAGTTCAACCAAAGTTGGGAGTTTGAAGTTTTGCATACGTAAGTTAACTGCTGATATAGAAGAGGAGCCATTGCAGGGATGGCTTGATGAACACTATAAGCTAATAAGAAATGAAGCTTATGAAGTAGCTGTTAGGTTAAAATTTCTTGACGATTTAATTTCTAAAGCAAACCAAGTTCCAAAAACTGCTGAAACAATTGATTCTCCTCAAGAAAGGAAGACGTGCTATAATGGCATTGAAGTTGATCCACAAAATCCATCAGATGTGCTTAGAATGCGAGACGAGATACATAGACAGTCATTTCAATCTTATTATCGTGCCTGTCAGAATATATTGCCATCAGAAGGTTCAGGTTCCTGTACTGAAGGGCTCCAGTCTGGTTTTAAATTCAGCACTGCCAGAACTTTTCTTATGTCCGTTACTGCTACAGACTTGGATGTTTCCTTAACGAAAATTGATGGTGGAGATGATGGAATGATAGACGTTCTAAGGAGGCTTGATCCTGTCTGTCTGGAAGAAAACATACCATTCTCGCGGCTTTACGGGAGAAATATACTCTTGAATGCAGGCTCTCTTGCAGTGCTGCTGAGAGATTACCCATTTCCTCTATTTGCAGCAACTTCTGGTAAATGTGAAGGCTGTCTCGTGATGGCACAACAGGTAATTTTCCTTCTGCCTTACTTTTACCAATATACACTCTTATGACTTGGTTACAATTGTTATGATTTCTTCACTCTTTTAAAATACACGATCCTTTTTTTTTTTAAGGGGGTGGGGAGGTGAAGAGGGAGGGCAGTAGGCTGGTATTGTTGTTCATCATAGCATGCATTAGTTTTGGAGTTTGTCAATTATTTTTCCTTTAATTTTGAGTTCCTTCTCTTGGATTTAACTAATGTGCATATAGCTCTCCCATTCTTGCAATATAGTACTGGAAAAAAGTAGAATGAATACACCTATATGGTAGGTTTTCTGGCACGTTTCTTGTTCCCAGCTGCTGTTGCTTATGAGAGAGCCCCCACCCAAGGAAACTACTTACAAACGGCCTTCCAACCAATAATAATCAAGGAGACTCAAAATTCTCGCATTTTTTTTGCATTACTTTTCAACAGAATTCTCGCATTACTTTTCAACTTCCATCCCTCAAACTCCAACAGCCAACCAACGATCCTATTTGGGAGACGAATTTGCATGTCAAAGTAGTCATCTGCCTCTCCCAACAAGGTCTAGTAAAAGAGCAACGCAAAAAAAAAAAAAAAAAAAAAAAAAAAAAAAAAAAAAAAAAAAAAAAAAAAATTGACTCCTCACAACTCAAACAGAGTGGGCGAAGAGAAGCACTAAGGGCAAGATTTGGACTCGCTTTTGAAGTCATTACCATTCAATATTCCATGAGCCATCCATTCACCTTAGGAATTTTGAAATCCCGAATCAACTATATGTAGTGAGTTAGAGATTAAATTTCAAAATGATTTTGGGTTTTTGTTAAAATGATTCACAAAAAATTAACAGCAAAACAAATAATTTTAGGTGATAAAATATGATACTGAATGTTTCCCGATTAAAATAGAATACATATGAAAGATCAGAAAGCCAAAATAATTTTTTTAAAATAAAATTTAAATGAACTTTTTTTATATGTCAATTGGAGGTTTCCTCACTCTGCCTTTGTTGGAGATTTCCTCAATTTCATTTATCCATGAAATTATTTTTTGAGGCTGCTGCATTTAGAAAGATAAAGAGAGTAGTAGTTCTTTACAAGGTCTGGAAATATGGTGGGGAGGGGAACAGTAAATTAGAGTTCTCCTGATTTTAAGTGAAATGTATTCTCCCCGCAAAAGAAAAAGAAATTCCCTACCTAGCCATATTTGGAAACTGTACAAAGAATGAAAAAAAAAAGAGAGAAGCAGACTAGAGTTTTCTTGAATATTTGCAATAAAAATAGTTTAGCTAAACCCTGTTCTCTTTTTGGACCCTCTCCCTTTGAATGGTTGGTTAACATGTTAACATTATTTATTTATTTATTTTTGTGCTTATCCCAGGAATAGGGAACTGTGTACAATAAAAAGGAACATGTAATTCATGAATTCGTGTCTCGTAATTTTGACAATATTTTTGCTTTTCAACTAGGCTACGTGTTTTCAACCTCAAATATATCAAGATGTGTACGTTGGGAAATGGAGAAAGGTGCAGATGCTACGCTCTGCTAGTGGTACAACTCCTGCAATGAAGACATATTCAAATTTGCCCATTCATTTTAAGAAGGCAGAGCTATCTTTTGGAGTGGGATATGAACCTATTTTTGCTGATATCAGTTATGCTTTCACTGTGGCCTTACGAAGGGCTAATCTTAGTGTCTGTAATCCTGGTCCACTTATTCAGCCTCCAAAAAAAGAGAAGAGCTTACCATGGTGGGATGATATGAGGTATTACATCCATGGAAATATCACTTTGTATTTTTCTGAGACACGGTGGAATATTCTTGGAAGTGCCGATCCTTATGAAAAGCTTGAAAAACTTCAAGTATTAACTGGTCAAATGGAGGTCCAGCAGTCAGATGGTCGCATCTTTCTTTCTTGCCAGGAATTCAGGATTTTAACCAGCAGTTTGGAAAGTATGGCTATTACTCGTGGTCTAAAACTTCCTCAAGGCATCTCTGGTCCGTTCCTTGAAACGCCAGTTTTCACCCTTGAAGTAAACATGATCTGGGGTTGTGATTCTGACGCTCCATTGAACCATTATCTACATGCGTTTCCTGTTGAAGGAAAATCTCGTGACATAGTCTTTGATCCATTTAGGTCCACATCTCTGTCACTTCAGTGGAGTTTCACCTTTAGGCCGCCTCTTCCTTCGAGTGAGAAACAGTTGTTTGATAATATCGATAAAACTAATTGTTCTACAAAACTGAGTTTTGGAGCTCATGATCTTGCTTGGATGAGTAAGTTTGGGACTTTGAATTACTTACCTCCTACCAAACTCCGTACCTTCTCTAGATGGGCCCGTTTTGGTGTTCCCAGGATTATAAGATCTGGTAATTTGCCCATGGACAAAGTAATAACCGAGTTTATGCTAAGAATTGATATTACTACTCCTGAGATAAGACATGTCCCATTAGATGACGATGATCCAGCAAAGGGACTGACTTTTAGTATGGCAAAGCTGAAATATGAAATTGGTCTCAGTCGGGGCAAGCCAAAATATACATTTGAATGCAGACGGGATAACCTTGATCTTTTCTACCAAGGACTTGATCTTCATATGCTAAAGGCTTTTACAAATAAAGAAAATTGCAGCAGTGTTGCAAAAGCAGTTCAAATGACCAGAAAAAATTCACAATCTGCTTCCACAGATAAAGTCCCTGTGGAGAAAGGCAACAGTACAAGCAGCTCAACTGAAAAACATCGTGATGATGGATTCTTTGTGACGGCTGATTATTTCACAATTAGGCGGCAGAGTCCAAAGGCTGACCCTGCTAGGTTATTAGCTTGGCAAGAGGCTGGAAAAAGAAACGTTGAGATGTTGTCTGTAAAGACTGAGTTTGAAAATGAGAATGAGAGTGATGAACGTGCACGATCTGATCCAAGTGATGATGATGGATACAATGTAGTCGTAGCTGATAATTGCCAGCGTGTTTTTGTTTATGGACTCAAACTTTTATGGACAATTGAGAACAGAGGTGCTATTACTTCTTTTGCTGGCGGTCTAACCAAGGCATTGCAACCTTCAAAACCTTCCCCTTCAAGACAATATACACAGCGGAAACTACTTGAGGAGAAACTACTTGCGGAGAGCCAGCCGAACGATAAAGCTCAAGTGTGTGAAGATGAGGAGATCTCTAAGGCCCCTAACAATGATGATACAGTTGCCTCTTCTACATCACAGCCAGAGGCTTTGGAATTGCAACCAGCCACATCGCAAAGCGTTAAAACAGAAAACATTTCGTCTACAGATAAAGGGGAGAACGTATCATCTCCTGCACCTGGTACATCTTGAGCATTCATTTATAGCAGAAATAGTGGCTTTATAGTTCTTATCAAAACAATAACATTATGGTATCTACCTTGATGAATATTGCTATGACTGAAGCATGTGTCCGGGATATGTAGGGTCATATTGGAAAAAAGTTGGTCGAAGTGTTTAGTTAACAAATGTTTTGTGGGCTATAAGAGGTAACACTTTTCTTTTTCCAGGAAAAGATGAGAAGTTAGATGACAAAGAGGATGAAGGGACTCGGCTCTTCATGGTGAATGTCATAGGGCCACAATTCAATCTTCACTCAGAAGAAGCTAACGTAAGTACCCTCAGACTCCCTAACTTTATTATGAGGATTAAATTCCTCGTGCTTTTTCTGTATGTTTTTTATTGTGAATAATTCTTGAATCATGCAACTAATATCACTCCAACTGAGATTGTTCTTGTTCTCACCTGTGATTACTGTTTAATGTTTCTTACAATTCTTGATTTAAATTTTTTTCATTATTTTTCGTTTGCATGCATGTAATGCTCAAGTACAACGATATGGATATTACTTACTAGGAAGATGTCTATCTATATTATGATTTTACATTTTTTTTTCTTTTCTGGTGTGGGGTGAAAAGGTCGTAATTTAACCCATGAAAAATGCACTCTAGCTTCAAAGTGATATAGTATTATAACTCAATATATGCATTGGCATTCCTCTCCTGTGCTACTTTATCGTCATCATTCCATCATCAGAATGAGAAGTTTCGGAATGTTGGATTATATACATGAGTGTTCTCTAAACCGCTATACTCTGACCAGTTGTTTATATTAGACGATAAATCATATTATTGTATATCATTTGAAAAAGAATGGAATTTTCAATTCCTTCCATTCTTTAAATTTTACTAAAACAGTTTTAACGCGTGGAATTAGTGAACCTTTTCTTGTGTTAAATCATCATTTCACCCAAATATCTCAAGTTGATGGGTTATGGTAAAACTTAATCATTTACTAATATTTAACAATCTCCCTCACTTGTGAGATCAGAGATTTATGGAAGGCCCAAAAACTTAAATTCAATATTAATCGGGGAGGAAATTACATTAGAAGGGTTTCAATGTAGGACCTCCTACTGCAAAATCACCGCTTCACTCAACAGCTTAAACTGATGGGTTATAGTAAATTTAATCTTTTATCAATGTTTAACGTCTTGCAACTCTCATTTTCTCTAGATTGAATTTCAAGTTTCATTTGAATTGTATTTAAATGGGGATGCCTTCTCCCCTTTTCTTTATTTCCTCACATCGATGAAATATATTCTTTCCTATATATATATAATTTATTATATTTTGTTTTCTGCGTCACATGCAAAGATGTTTTTAATGATGATTCATATTGTTCTGTTGTTGAAACAGGGAAGGTTTTTGCTTGCTGCTGCTACTGGGCGTATTTTAGCACGATCATTCCATTCAATCGTCCAAGTTGGCCATCACATGATAGAACAAGCTCTTGCCGCTGGAAATGTGCAAATTTCAGAGTGTGAACCTGAAATGACATGGAAACGGATGGAGTTATCGGTGATGTTAGAGCATGTTCAGGCTCATGTTGCACCAACTGATGTTGACCCAGGGGCTGGATTGCAGTGGCTTCCAAAAATTCTAAGAAGTTCTCCTAAAGTAAAGCGAACTGGAGCTTTGCTTGAAAGAGTGTTTATGCCCTGTAACATGTACTTCCGATACACAAGGCACAAGGGTGGAACTCCTGAGTTGAAGGTTTGTCATTTATCTTGTATTACTTCAATTATCTTTTTTATCGCGTTTCCACGAATGATGAGAAGGATACAGTTTGACATGTAGAAGAACATAAGAGTAATTAGAAAATGATCTTACTTTGAGCTTGTCTTTTAGAAAAGAACTAATTTTTCAAACTAATGGAAGTGGTCTTTCCTAGAACATTCTTTGAAAGTTTTGTTGATGTTACCATTCCCTCAAAAAAGTAACAATAATAAATGAAGAAACAAACTTTCATTCGGAAGAAATGAAAGAATACACAAGAAGTAACAAAAAGCTCATTGATCCTAATTAAGGCCCCATGAAGTCAAGATGACTTGGAATATTAAATATTTGGCTTGTAGAGTTAAACTTGCTTAGTCTGCATACTAATTAGTCTTGAACTTAAGTATTTCTAATGTGTTTGCATGATCTTGTTGTAGGTGAAGCCATTAAAAGAGCTTACTTTCACTTCTGAAAATATAACAGCAACAATGACTTCTCGTCAGTTTCAAGTTATGGTTGACGTGTTAACAAACCTTCTTTTTGCACGTCTTCCCAAGTATGTGATGAATTTATGTCTATGCTATCAGTTTTTTCTGGAATCACAATATTATGATGATATGCTGCTGTATTTAGCTGGAATTACATCTCAACTTCCCCTCTTGAGTTACTTCATACAAACGTTTGATCTGTTGTATCATCTTTTCAATATTTATTTTACTTTTTTCTATGTGATTAATTCAACACTCAGAGACAATAGCTAGGTATAATACCGCTTACAGCCTTAAGGCCATTACCTTTATTGAATTCTTATTGTAATATTATCAGAAGTCATTATTATATATCATCTAGCATTCTGAGTTGATACCCTTTTTTCTATTTTTAAGAATCTCTGTTTTATTGTTAAAATTATTGGTAACCACGGCTTTCCATAATTTGAATTGTTTTATTAGTTTTTATGTTTTTTTTTAAATATTATACAAGAGTTACATGAACTGCAAAGTTCTTATAACAGCAACAGTACATGATGTTCAAAAGTATAATTTTATTTGATTAATTTGCTTGTACATGTATAATGATTGATTCCCCTAATTTCAGGCCTCGAAACAGTAGTCCTTCATTTCCTTCGGAAGATGGTGAGGATGTTGAAGAGGAAGCAGATGAGGTTGTCCCTGATGGTGTTGAAGAGGTAGAACTTGCAAAAATAAACCTTGAAGTGAAAGAACGGGAACAAAGGTTACTTCGGAATGACATCAGAAAACTGTCTCTCTATTGCGACGGTAGTGACCTAAATCCAGAAAAAGATGGTGAGATGTGGATGGTTTCAGGCGGAAAGTCCTTATTGGTGAGCAACATTTTGGGTTTTTCTTGTTATTTCATTTTATGATTCTAAACGTGGATTATGATTTTGTTAATTTTTATATGTTGTTAGAAATAGTTTTTATTTTGAACTTTTTCCGCAAAAAGTTTAGCTCTGCTTGTGAACATGCGTGTTGGTTTGACTGTGGTTGATTTTTCACAAATTAAAACTTCCATTATTTCCATGGATTTACAACCTACGTCCTTGAACATACTTTCTTTTCTTCCTTTGTTTTTGTTTTTTTCGTTTTTTTTTTTTTTTTGGTTTTTGTTTTTTTTTTTTTTTTTGCAAATTAAAACTTAAATCAAGATTTCTTTGGAGTTACAGTCTACATCCTTGCACATTCTTTAGGTGGTGACGGTAGCCTAGTCAGTGACGTTTTGCTTATAAGATACTCTTTGCATACACTTCAGTTGCTAGTGCATAACCCTACTCTTCTTATGTCTTATTGTTTAACTCGATAGATATATACTCAAAGTGCATCTTTCCAGGTGCAAGGATTGAAGAGAGAGCTTGTAAATGCACAAAAATCTAGGAAAACGGCATATGCATCGTTAAGGGTGGCTCTTCAGGATGCTGCTCAGGCACGATTGATGGAGAAGGAGAAGAACAAAAGTCCTTCATATGCTATGCGGATTTCTTTGAAAATTGACAAAGTTGTCTGGAGCATGCTTGTTGATGGTAAACCTTTTGCAGAAACTGAACTAAATGACATGGTGAGAGTCTAAAAAGTCCTTCATTTCTAAATTTCCTATGCATATATATACAGAAACATACATATAAACAGCAAAAAGAGAAGCAGAAGAATTTATAAATGCTCTTCTCTGAATGTTCCCAACTCTAAAAATGCTCGTCTTTCAGCAAGTTTCTCTTGATATCTTATTATCTAGAGTTCTTGTTAGTTTCAACTAGGATGGTGTGGTTGGGATGTCTCATCTCCTCCTTTCTGTATGATTCTCTTTAATAATACATTTTCATGTTTCCTATCCAAAAGAAGTTGCAACTATGCTAGTTGGTTTAGATGCTTCATGTCAAGAATATCACGGTTGTTTGGTTTTTCAAATTTTTACAAATTAACCAGGGTTACAGGATTGGTGAAATCTCAGCAGTAAAATCTAGTAATATTATTTAAAAATTGCTGTGAATTAGCTTGAGATCAGGCTTGATGTATACTAATGCTTGTCGGTTTTTTTTTTTCTTTTCTTTTCTTTTCTTTTTTGGGATGCTATTCAATAATATTTTTGTTATATATCTACAATTATGGTAATGCTTGATTATTGTAAGTAATACTTGTTACCATCTGTTACTACAGTTTTATGATTTTGACCGTGATTACAAAGATATTGGCATTGCTCAGTTTACTACGAAGAATTTTGTTATACGAAATTGCTTGGCCAATGCCAAGTCTGACACGCTTCTATCAGCATGGAATCCTCCACCAGACTGGGGAAAGTACGTTCTTTTTCAGCTCTTTTTTATCTGTTTCTCCTGCCTCTTGGTGAAAGTATTACGTTCTTTTTCATCTCTTTTTTATCTGTTTCTCCTACATCCCTATCCCCTTAGTATTTGGTTTTCACTGGATAACATGCTAATTTCCTTCTGAAGTTCTCCTATAATCCTTGCTTTTGGATGATTCGAGATTATTATTTTCAACCCCACATGGATTATTATTCGCATGGATGATTCTGAAGTTCACTATTGGATTGTTATTATTCACGCCTTCATGGGTTGCTGAATCTCTCTGGTTGACCTTAAGGCTGATGCACTTACTTCAAGAAAGTCTAAATGCAAGAGTGGGATTGGCAATTCTGTTATTTATTGGATACTCGAATGCCCCTTCAAAATGAAGTTCCTGGTTTTCCTTGTGTAATTAATTTAGGTACTAATTGCTTCATGTGGTTCTTCAGAAATTTACAGCACTTACTTTAATGGCTGCAGATTAGTCATGGTTCGAGTGCATGCAAAGCAGGGAGCTCCGAGGGATGGAAATTCACTTCTTGAGATGTTGCAGGTAATATAAGTGCTTTTGTTTTCTCCAAATGTTTAAGTATACTTCGTACAAATTTATTATAGTGAGCATTTCTTTTATAGGATGCATAGTATGAGAATGTTTGATTCAATGACATCGTCAATTTGGATGTTTTGCGGTGGTAGCTAAAAGGACCCTTTGAGCTTGTTCCATTCACCTTATCTTGTATGTTCCATTAGCTTTGTGGATGATCATATAGTTAACTATGGTTGCATAGGAGGTGTGGATGGGTTGCAGCAACTGATTCTCTTTTTTTTTTTTTTTCTCTCTTTTACTTTGAATGGTTTGTTGTATCATGAATTCTTCCGGTGCATTTGTCGTATGAACCACTTCAACATTTGAAAATAATATCATAGTAATTTCTGTTTCCCAAAAAATGTCAATTAAGCAGAATTATCTTCATCATTATAATTTTGTGATCTAATCCACAGTACATGATTGTTTTCTGTTATTCTTTACTCTTACAGGTAGACATTTATCCCCTCAAAATTCACTTGACTGAGGCAATGTATCGGATGATGTGGGGGTACCTTTTTTCAGAAGAAGATCAAGATTCACAGAGACGGCAGGTGAGTTTGAAGGCCTTGTTTCTTTTGGGATCCAACTCCTAGGCGAAAGGCAGCCTTCTACTTTAGTTTTAGATCATGAGTGGCTCAATTTTTGCTGCAGGAAGCTTGGAAAATTTCTACGGCTGCAGGCTCAAGGCGCGTAAAGAAAGGTGAAGTGTCCACATCAAAAGAGTTAGAGATGTTCTCCAAATTAGGTTTCTCCCTCGGTGGTCAAGCATCTGCCAGCGCCGAATCCTCTCAAGTGAGTTTATTAAGCTCACTTGTGGCTCATGGAGCCAGTTTTCTTTTCTGATAATAATTAATTATCTTATGATAATTGGTTTCTTCTGTTGAGATCGCTGGTATTGATTGTAGTTGTATTCCTTCTTTGTATCATGCGCCTTTTTTCATCAAGTGTCCGATACTTTCATGCAGGCATCAAAGTCACAAAACCCCAAGTCTACTGCTGGCAGCAGTTCAGGCTCCGAGTTAAGAAGAACATCTTCTTTTGATAGGTCTTGGGAAGAGACTGTGGCCGAGTCTGTTGCTACTGAACTTGTCTTGCAGAGCATCACCAAAAGTGGACCATTGGGCTCTGGTGAGCAGCCAGATGAATCAGCTAATAAATTGAAAGATCCCAAAGCTCCCAAAACAGCTGGTCGCTCATCCGAAGAGAAAAAGGTGATTAAGCCTCAGGATGAGAAGAGAGCCAGACCTCGAAAGTTGATGGAGTTCCACAATATCAAGATTAGCCAGGTTAGTTAGCTCAGTCTATAAATTTGTCGTTGAATTAGTTATTGAAACAAATCACTCAACGAACTATTGAAACAGGTTGAGTTGCTGGTTACCTACGAAGGATCAAGATTTGTGGTCAATGATCTAAAGCTGCTGATGGATACATTTCATCGTGTTGAGTTCACTGGCACTTGGCGTCGGCTGTTCTCTCGAGTTAAAAAGCATATCATCTGGGGAGTTCTAAAGTCTGTTACAGGAATGCAGGTGAATTTCTCATCACCACCTTTAAATTTATTATATTCTAGATTACTTCGGTCAGTTATTTACAATCTAACACCTCCACTCATGCAGGGTAAGAAATTCAAAGACAAAGCACATACTCAAAAGGAACACCCCAATCTGCTGGTTCCTGACACCGACTTCAATTTGAGCGACAACGAAGGGGCTCTAGTACTAAAGTCGGACCAAAATCCAGTAACCTGGCTTAAGCGGCCAGCCGATGGGGCAGGTGACGGATTTGTTACATCAATCAGGGGTCTTTTCAACAATCAGCGTCGCAAGGCCAAAGCATTCGTATTGCGCACAATGAGGGGAGAAGCTGATGGTGATTTCCCAGGTGACTGGAGTGACACTGAAGCTGAGTTTTCGCCTTTTGCTCGGCAGCTCACTATAACTAAAGCAAAGAAGCTTATTAGGCGCCATACTAAGAAGTTCCAAGCCAGACAGAAGGGTATCTCCCCCACTTCTCAACTCTCTTTCTTTGGTATCTTTATTCTGTCTCTGACACCGAGAAATGCAATGTCACAGATTCATCTCCTCAGCAGAGGGACGAGTCCCTGCCCTTGTCCCCAAGGGAAGCCATCGTATATGATGAAAGCGATTCTTCTAGCGGCTCATCATTTGGAGATTTTACTGAACAGGAACAGCTGCAGCTTGAGCAAATGAAAGAGGAGCTTATGGCAGCTGGAGCAACAAATGAAAGAGAAGCTTGAATCCTCCTTTCATGGAGAACACAAATAATAGCCCAGATATCTACAATGGAGGATGGCCTATGGAGAATAAAGCCGCCCCATTTTTCTAGTTTATCTACCTATATATATATATATATATAGGTTTCAGTTTGCTCATAAATTTTTGAGCAACTGGAAGTCCAATTTTGTCCCTTCATATATTATTTATGGTATATAATAATAATAATAATGTTTGTTTCCTAAGTTCTCAAGTGGCAGTTACTTTCATTATTGAGTAAAATTATTTCTTTATTTACACTACGATTAAATAATATTCTTTTCTCCAAATCCTTTGTAAAAAGAATGGTAATGTGACTAAGAACAAGAAACGAAGATGCATATATGATCTTTTTTTTCTTTTTTTTTTTTCTGTTTTTTTTATATAAATGGAATGCCCTCTTTGAAATAAATTCTCCTAGATAGAGATTAAAAAAAAAAAAAGTATTAGATGAAATCAGTTTAGAGAGATTATCAATTCCATTTATCTCTTTGGATTGTTATATGAATCTTTCTTTCTTCTAGGCCAATCCACCATGGGCGATAATTTGGTTTCGATTCGTCTTGATTCGACCAATTATTTGCTATGGAGGCATCAAACCTCTTCATCACTTCGTGCCCTTCGTTTATTTGGATTACGTTGATGAATCAATCGCCCTTCCACCATAGAATTACTCATGTTTATTCAAAAACTTGGAAAACTTGGTTGTTTTTAGGATCTAGGTCCATTATTCACTCAACGAATTGGTGGTTGGATATTCTCCGGATAAAAGTCAAAATATGGTTCTTATGGGGGGTTTAACAAAGCATGTGTTAATTACAAAAAATACTTTTTTATATGCTTTTGGTCCAAAGATGAAATTCTTAATTTTTGCAATAATAGCCTAATAGCCTGTTCCACAGCAGGATTAACCGCTGGCACCTTTTACACAGAGATCAGTAATTCCTTTCTTCAATGGCGTTCAAGAGATCACGTCTGGATTGCTCTGATTAATGCCACTTTATCTTCTTCATCTTGCAATTGTGTTCGGCTTTGTTTGCAATCAAGAAACTGTCTATGATTCTTTTCATAAATAAAATGTAATGTGAACCAATGGCAAAACATCTCAAATCAGTCTCCTTTCAATTTTGTTCTGTACATAACCAAGAAGAACACTACAATCTTCCCAATTTTGCACATCCATCATATACTTACACAAAATAGGTCCCCGAAGGGGGAGGTCCATCAACTGGAACAACAGGGCTAGTAATGTGCAAGTTTATTCTATTACCAATTGCTTAATAAGTCATTGTATATAATAACATTGTCAACTAGAAGCAAAACAAAGGTCTATCTTAAGATAACACAACAAGGATTTGATCCCTTCATCATTATGACGATAAATTATGGAAGAAGAAGACTTCCAATGAAATTGAATCAAGAGTAACCACCCTACCAAATGAATCACTCAGATCATACACTGATGGAAGAACTCAAGTGTATCCTCTAACAACTCGACTTGTACAGTGAACACAAACAGTTTCTGGCAGAAATATCAACATCGTCGGACAATCTAACGTTAGCTGAAAGCAGCGTGCAACCTCCTGGGGTCGAAAGATGACCACTGCACACTTGAACCTTATGTCATGGACGTTTTTGTAATTATACAAGTCCTAACTGCCACTCCATTGTTGATACTAACTTTTAACATCTAGGATTTATGACGGCACAAGAAATTATTAACAGCCAACGTATTATTTGAAATCTCCTTGACCCGTTGCCTAAGCAAACGATTTACCTTCTAATCAAAGTTAGTGGGGATGTCTATATCGGTATCCGAAGGATTAGGAAGTTCAATAAGAGGTTCCTGAAGATAAAAACTAGTATAAGTAATTGAATATCGACCCAAAAAATATTAAATGCAGCAAATTCACATCACTTAACTGAATTTACAATCTATCAACACCAAATCTAAAACAAGATGATGTTGACAATTGGCTTGGCGGCCATCAGATGGTTCATACAAGTAATCTCCTTGAGGAATCATTGGAGCACAACAAATAATAGTACCAACAACTTATAACTAAGTTTCAATTCAGGGCTTGCAAGAATTTTAGCATCTAAACATAAAAGGTCAGCTGAGCGCCTTGGAGCATATTTATTTGATTACTTCACCTCTGTTAAAGGCCTCAAGTAACATTGTCCTAAGAAATGAAAGGCAAGTGGGGCAACAATGGTGTTTAAGATAGGTTTAGTATCAGACTATTAGGACAAGGATTACTTTGCATCAAACCAAAAAATGTTAATTTATACAGCATGACAAAATAAAATGAAAGATAATTTGTTGTATTTATCCATTACATACAACAAATTATCTCTCGCTCCATCACATGAAATTGGTTTAGAATATAAAATGCAGTAGCTCATAATTAAACTTCTTTTCAGGCTATTATTTTGACATAACCCATATGTTGTTTTCCTAACATATGATGAATGGTTTAATGTGATGTAGAGAATTTATACAGCATGACAAAATATGTTCAATTCCAGATATCAAAGCAACCTGGATGAGACATCCAAAGCGCTAGCCTTGCAAGGAATTAAAATGAAAGATAATTCATTGTATTTATCCTTTAAAATAAAAATAAGCAATACCTGCTCATCATCGTTTGTTGAATCATTGACAATTTGCATGGGCAACGAATTTGTTTGGCCACCAGTGGTTTCATTTATGTCCTGCACCACAAGGAACATCAAGTTACTTCGGAGTTGCACACTTTTCTTGTCAAGTATGAAGCTAAGTGCTCAAGGTTTTATTTTGTTTTCATCTCCAAAGTCTTCAAAAACATTACAAAAACAAAATTTTGAGGGTAACCACTGATACTGCCAAGCTTCAAAAACAGCAAATGCGCAGAATGGTGCATAGAACATCAGCAGGTTAACAAGTTTCTCCATCAATCAAGCATCCTTGCTTTTATTGATCGAGTGTTCAATTCAAGAGCAAACGGAACGAAAAATGGCTTATGAAAGTACACAATAGGGTGAATAATATAACTAACTACAAATCAAGGATAAGCTTTTTCATGTGAAGAGAAATACATCTGACAAGCACCTTTATCAATAAAGAGTACAGTGTCAACACGAGTAACTGGGTGGACGTGCTGATTTTCATAATGGGAGTTTGATAATTTAGGGTGAATGGGCAGAGTTAACTACTCCAAGGCAAGAGAAAACAGGGGTAGATAAAGATCCAACAGAAACTTTCAAATGCAGGTAAAAAAAAGTCATATAAAAGCCGGAGGCTTAAAATCAATTGAGATATGGGCATACTTCCTCCTCATCTAGGTCGACGGAAGGATTACTCGAGCCCTCAGTCATAGTTTTACCAGGATCCTCGGGAGTTCCCTGCATGCATATTGTATGTGCATTGGCTTGCAGATAACACAAGCTAGCCAAATGGAAGGAGTATTTGTAATGAGAGAAAAATAGAGGAGTAGTACATGTTCATCCGGGATGCCCGAAAATTCTCCCTCCATGATTGTGGGTTTGACATCCATTGGGGTTTCCTGCAAATCAATTGAAGACAAACTAAATCAATGGAATAACAGCATCCAAGCTCTCTATGAATCAAAGACAAACTAGTGATAAAATGTAAGATTTCAATCACCAAAACCCCATTTCATAACCCTTTTGATTTGGTTTTTGGTTTTGAAAATTAAGCTCATAAATACTACTACCACCTATAGGTTTATAGGTTTCTTTGTTATGTTATCTACTTTTTACATATGTTTTCAAAAACCAAGCTAAAGTTTTGAAAACTAACAAAGTAATTTTCAAAAAGTAATAAAAAACAGTGATTTCTTTTATATCACATACAGGTTCCGTGTGATCCACAGACACATTTCTCCCTCCCTTGCTAAGATCTCTCAACGTGCCCTGTACAACAAATAAGCCGGTAAAAAAAATGAATAATGCTAAAGAAAATGTTGCAGAAGATAAGGGCCAATAAAGACTGCATGAAGAAATAGAATATATAAAGATTTTAAATCCATAAAGTATTCTTGGATATAACCCTGCCACCTTCATGATTTTTATAAAACTACCTTCTCTTCAGTCTTCAGATAGGAATATTGCTTGGAAATAACAACGAGCAACTTCTTTCGAGAGGCTGCTCCTCAAGAAGGGGTTTTTCATTTTGTTCAACGGAGCAAAGTAAAAAACTTAAGCTTTAAAATTTTAATGCTGATCATGTTTCCTTTGGTGTCGAAAATGGATGTAATGTCAAATTTAGGAAAATCTTTGAAGGGCAATTCCCCCTTTCTTAGTGGCCCTACGGCCCTTTCCAAGACTTTAGAGTGTTTCTTAACAGTAATACCCCACTATAAATCAGATCGGGACCCAACTAGCAACCTAAATCATGACAGAATCTGCATAACAGATGCACTCCAAGCACAGCTATCCCCTTCTATGCTAGCTGGAAATCTCCTTGCCCCTCGGAAGATAAATGGAAACAGATCTTTAACTGAAAATATTTTCCTAGATCTCAAAGAAGAGTGATGTTATCATTGATTTTCATCTATGTGAGGTGATTTGGGAAGGAAGATATATGAGAAGATCAAGGAATTCTCGTGGGATCTCTTGTTGGGCAACCTTTTGAATTCTTTTGAAGAGTCTATTTTTTTGCCATTGATTCTTGCTGAAAACAATTGAAGCCTCTCAGTTATTACAGCAATATCTCTACTGCACTAGTTAAAAAAACATCTGTAAATTTCTTGGCACACGGTTTTCTCTATTTTTGTTCTGTTATCATAAATGCTCCTTTAAAAAATAATAATAAAAGGAAAAGAAAGGAAAATATATTCACAGATGTAAGTGGACATTTAAGTTAGAAATGTGTAATATAAACCTTGTTGGCCCACATCAAACCACATGCATTGCATAAAGTTCTTGGTCCAGCAGGGCCACGACGCATTGCAGGTGTATTGTTCTCACTAACACCACAATGTTGACATTTCCGCAAACTGAAAAATATTTTAGAAATAAGGAATATTAATGAAGGTATATATATATACATACATCCAAACAATAGATCGTTGAAAAACAATTTCATACTCAGTGATAACAGACTAAAACATGAACTCACACAGTTTCTGAACGAGTACCATCTTGGAGGCAACTATGTGCTGACTCCCAACTTGAAGCACCTGAACTTTCTTTTAAGGATGCAAACTGGCCATTCTTACGGTGCATCCTAGAACAACGACGAAAAATAATAATAATAATTAAATGTGCATGGCTATTAAAACTGTTTCACCAAGTGGTGAGATTTTCTTTTATTTCCCAAAAGATCAGAGTAACATTAGTTTCTCGAAAAGAAAAAAGGTTGTCACGCATACCCTAGTTTTAATTAGAGTACATAAATTTCTGTATAGGAAAGTTACATTATAATCATCAAGTTCAGTCCAATGAGAGATTCTATTCTAACAGCAGCAGAACAAAGTCCAAGATAGACATTTCAATGCTACCAAATAGGGGACGTGTTCACACCCCAATCTGGATCACAAATGTTGGATGCAAAAATTCACCAGAATAAATATAGATGGTGTATTATCTAACACGCTATATCCCTCAGTTGAGACCTAGAATTTTGTAAACTATATCCCATAAGCATCTTGTACCGAACGATGAAGAAAAAGAGGATGGGAACAACTACAAATGCTAATGTGCAAAGTACAAATTTCTCACTAAGATTTTGATTCCATGCCATAGTAGCCCAAGTCATCTTACCTCTGTGCAACCTCTTTCCGAACGGTGTACCTAATTTTCTTGTCAAAACATCTCTCTTTCCGTTTTTCACGAAATCTAACCAGCGAGGCTATTCTCCGTGATAAGTTGGAGCGCTTTGGGGTGTCAACCATACCCTGAAGATGGTAGGCAAGATCTAATATATGAATATAACCACATAATATGAAGTAAAATTTCCATGATTAGCATTACCCTGTTCATATGATCATATGGTACTTCCATTGTGGGTACACTGGTTGGTACGTCACGCCCTCCAAGAAGTAAGAGCACGGCTTGTACCTATGACATCAAAACCAGGTAACTCATCCAAAGTTAACACATTTCAAAAGTATAATAGATTATTATCCCCATACAGTCAAAATATTTATACTTCAAAAATTTCTAGCAAACAACAAGATGCCAATTCGCCATCATTTTACCACATGCTCCATATTATCGCTTGACAAAACAAGAAAAAGTTTCCGCCTTCATTTCCATTGTATGTTCTAACTGTTCCTTCAAAAGTTGCTTTCATTGCCATTCTTCTTTGCTTTTTTTTCTCTTTTTTTCATAGAACTTACTTCTCGCCAACGTGGTTACTAGCTTTAGCTTTTACTTCATCGCATTGTAAGCCAATGATAGAAAAAACTTGACATGACCAGGAAAGGACAGATAAACATAATTCTGATATCTGCGATTGATTGTACGATATACCCTTTGAATTAAGTACGAATATTCTATCAGTCAGAAAATTTGAACAAAAGTAGTAATGGATGTCTACCCAAACTCTCTCTCTCTCTCTCACTCACTATCATTTTTCTTTCAAAAAAATAAAAATTCCATTCCATTCCATTCCAACTCCAGATGATTACGTCCTAAGCTCTGTTCTTGGCTACCATAGCTTGTTTTGAAAAAATTCAGGCACTAAGAGTAGCAAAAAGACACCCATTTAGGTTCATGAAAGTCTCAGCAACTCCAGCTAGTTCAAATTAAACATAACTACGAGAATAGGAGCATATGCTTATTTTGATAACAGACGAATACCTTTTCGGGAGTAACTGCAGGGAACACATAAACCTCGCCCTCGAAAGAAAGCGTAAGTTCACTAGTTCTAGACGCCATAACCAACCCCCCAAGGTTCGCGACGCTCACTGAAGTCATATGAGCCTCTTCGACATCATCCATAACGTCACCGCCGCCGCCGCCGCCGCCACCACCACCACCACCACCACCACCATCTTCATATTCACCGTCGTCGTCCCCCATCACTGTAGAAACTTGGACATGTTCCTGGAAAGGACGCGCTTGCAAAGGCTGAGGATTAGCAGCCGCCATGAATTTGTCGAAAGCCCTAACTGCACCAGAAATGAAGCCCTAACCATCAACCAGCTTCATGAGGCAAAGATGAACAATTCCGCGAAATTTCGAAAACCCAGAATCAATCGAAAATTCGAGCTCGAATAAGCTTCAGAATCCAAGAGGATAGAAAAATTCAAACAAAAAATAAAGAACTACCAGAAATGGTTAAAGGAATTGCAGGATGTGCCCTTGTATTTCCTTGGAGAGACTCAAAATGGGTAATTTTCTTTTTAATTTTCAGCCTTTATTTTCTTTTTAAAAAAAATAATCATAACAAAAATTAATGACGGCGACGGAGATTTTTCGAGTTTATAACATAAATACTGGGGTATTATACCCTGCGACGCATGTATACGACGTTCTTGGCGCCCTCATCTTCAGCCGTTTATTTGAATAAAAAATCTGATGTAAAACGGGACCCACATGCGTTAACGGTTTAGATGGGTCAGCGGGTGAAGGACTGTACTTTCATCATTAGATCCAACGGCTGGTAGCAGCCACTAAAGTCGTGGGATAATGTCTGAAATTATTTAGGATATACAAGTGGGGCCCACTTTTTGATAAATAACGACCTTACTATGTTTGGTTCTCGTTGACTCGATTTTGCCCATTTCACTTTCAAGAGAAATTCGTAATATAATTAATATTCTAAATTCTTAAATCTTAGCTCCCAAGTTCTCATATATACTATGGCTAATACTATAGTATTAGTATTTACGTAAAATTCCTGTGACCCATAAGATTTTAGGGGAAAAAAAACTAACGTTGACTAACTCAACATGTTTTGACTTATTGGTTTAAGGAAATTAGTGATTAAGTACTATTGAGGATGATACGGAACAAAATCTGATGCGTCTAAGTTTTCGACAGGTTGATTGATCGAGACTAAAAAATCACCTTATGTAAATTTTCATATAATGGTCGATGTAAGACCGGGTTACAGAGGATGCATAGTAACATAGCTCAATAGACAGTAAAATATGGCAAAGATGAGATTGGTCTTACCATAGTAAGACTAGGGAAGCTCCCAAGCTTCAATGAGTCTAATTGTCTTGTCTACAAAAAGATTTGAGCAACTTTCACTATGTCCTTTTCTTTTGAATCATAGGAAATGATTCAATCTCGATCGGGGCCTGACTATTCAAGAATTTTTTCAAGACTTCTGTCTTTGTTAGTAAGTGGATCGGCGAGGTGCCAACTAACCTTTGTCCCTATCCCTCAATCAATCAATGGGACAAGGAGAGGGGAGAAGTTGCAAGACCGAAGGAGAAAGAACCAAACAAACACCTAGATTTATAACTATATATGACATTTTAAATTGAAGCCTAAAACAAATTAATTGTGTAAATAATAAATTAGTACTCTAAAGGAAACATAATTGAAAAAAAGATGGTAAAAAGAAAAGGAAGAGCAATTGGTAGTAGTTCATAAGTGTAGGTATCAAGGTGACATAATGAGGAGACCATCTGTTTCTCGTATTTCAATAGAAAGCATTGCTATATCTGTACATTCTACAGCCCTGGTTTTCTGTAAATTACCAAAACGAGGGCCGGAATGAATGAAGAAAAGCCAGAAACAGGCATCATCATGGCCTTTTTTTCTGTAACCAAACGTAATTCTAATGCTCAGCCATCAAAGCGGAGTTATCACCATTTGAGAAAGAAACGAGATCGTTGTGTGCATGGGTACCCTGTCTGCAGTCCAAGTCTTTGACAGGAGCAGCAGCAGCAGCAGCATCACTTTCAAACTAAAATCAAGGAAATTAGTTGAATTGGAATATGAAGTAATACGTATACAAACCCAAGAGTGTGACAGTTCAAGCCCACCGCTAGCAGATATTGTCTGTTTTGGCTCGTTACGTATCGCCGTCAGCCTCACAGTTTTATAACGCGTCTGCTAGTGAGAGGTTTCCACACCCTTATATCGAATGTTTTGTTCCCCTTTCTAACCAATGTAGGATCTTACAATCCACCCCCTTGGGGGCCCAACGTCCTCACTGGCACAGCACCTTGTATCTATCTGGCTCTGATACTATTTGTAACAGCCCAACCTACCACTAGCAGATATTGTCCGCTTTGGCCCATTACGTATCGCCGTCAGCTTCATGATTTTAAAACGCGTCTACTGGGGAGGTTTCCACACCCTTATAAGGAATGTTTTGTTTCCCTCTCCAACCAATGTGGGATCGGTCTCACACAGAGTGAGTTCTCAAGAAACTAAAACAAAGACAAGAAGAAACAACTCTACGACAGGCATATACCTGCCCGGCCGGAGTCACCCGATGGTCCTGACTTCTCTTCGAGAGATCCCTTAAAGTGCCCTGCAACGTTCAAGAGAACAATGAATTCTAAGTAATAACGATGCTTAACTCAAACTGTGAAAGGGAACCAGAATCAGATATTAAAACAATTTTCAATCACTGACTGCACCATTGAAGTAGCAATTTGACACGACATACATATTCATGTTGATCAGGATATGTCCTCAAGATAAGTATATAAATTTGTACACGTATGTATTAATGTATTTTGGTAAGGTCATAAGGCAATACCAATAATCATAAAATGTATTCATAGGTAAGCATGTTGTCACACACAGTAAATACGCACATGTCTGCTTGCGATATTACATGCACAAGAGCAGTAGTAGTTAAGAAACCACTGCACTTTTCATACCCAAGTTTTGTGTCTACCCAGATCAATCAGCAGCAGTTGTTAAGAAACCACTGCAGTGTCAAACCAAATATACTCGATTGAATAGGTTCTAACTCTTAGTAATCCAGTATAAAATCAGAAATGCTGACAGTTCTGACTGAAGGAGGGACACCATTATTATTATTGTTTACATATGAGTATCTAGGACAACATGCACACACCTAGACTATTCTCACAATACAACCACTTAACCCTGTTATATTTGGTTGTCAAGATAACTGGTAGGACATTAAATCCTATAGATAGTTGGTCAATACATAAATAGCCTGAAATTGGGGTTCACTCCAGAGTTCTTAAAAAAGACTGAAGTACCATAAGATAGAAGTACTCGAAGGGTTAGATTTTTTTGAGAAGGCAATCGTTGAAAGATGCACCCATAAAACACATATTTGTTTAATCCTAAGAAATGGTTTGTGAGTAGGACAAATGAAGGGTTGATTGACGAAAGGTTGGTGACGAAATATAAAAGAAATGGCTTCCTTCCATGATCAACAACAGGCAATTGTGCTTTATCAAAGACACAAATTTTGGGCGCCTATAATAACCTATGAGAAAGTAGGTTGGCACTACACGAAATAATGTGTAAGGGCCAAGGGAAGAAACTTGGATTGGACTTATAGCTGCATATCTCAACAATTTCTTTATATTTGCGAATGGGAAGACCAACAGGCAAGATGTTGGCTTCCCGGGCTCAATTAAACAGACCTTCCCAAAGCCTCAATCAAAACTCCCCCCATGTCTTTACCTTGGTGGTTGATGGTTGACGGATTAGGTGATTGATGGGTGATGGATTCGGTGTTGGTGAACACAGTATATACATCTAACTTGTCTCCAGAACAATGTGCGCCAGAAGAAGAGAAAGTTGTACAGTCGTATGAAACATACTAATGTATTACAATATGCCTCCAGTCTGTCCATTAATTTCATTCTATCTTTTTTAACCAGTAAGCCTTAAAGTTTTAAAGAGGCAACGAACAAATTTCTTGTGCATAGTTGAGAAGATGCCTGGATGGGACAATAAACCTCAGTAAAAAAGAATTGTGTAACCGTCCAACCACAATTTACACTTGTTCACAAAGAATGTAAAAAGTTGCAAGGAAATAAAAAAAAAGCATAGGGAAAATGCAGGATTGGAGGATGAAAGTCACTTAATGAAGTGGAGTTGGGCATCCCTTCCACAAGATTTGGGATATCAAGGGAATGGTAGGACCAGGTAAGAAACGAATTTCAAGAACTTAACCAAGTTTAAGAGGAACGTCTAAAGAAAATGCACGGACAAGATGAACTGTAAATGAAGCAACAAAGACGGAAAAAAGGGAAAAACAAGGATAGAGAGCGAAATACAATTAGTGAACAAGAAAATCTAAACAACGATCAAGGGAGGTGATGCAACCAAAACCAAGAATCAAAGGAGAAGTATCTGAAAGAAATCTCAACTAAATCCCTATTAATGAAACTAAATCCGTATTGATACCATGGTCTCTACTTGTAGACAAGTGAAAGCCCAATAACTCAAATAAACTAACCAACTGACTACAAAAATAAAATGATCAACTCAGATGAAAATTACCAAACTACTCCTGATTACACTGCATCAAGAAGCAGCAAAAGAAAATAACAAGGGACAAAGGAAGAGATACATGAGGTGGTCAGCTAGGTAGTAGAGACACAGAAAGATCGAGTTAGACTAACGAAAGAAAATGCACATGCTGGTGTGAGTGGTTTACCGTAAAAATTGTTAATCACGTCAACAGTTCTTATTAAAACCCAATGGCTGACTAAAAAGACCCAAACTAACCTAGACACTGTGTGTGTCATGACTTTTTTTCTGTTCCCACTCGTTCCAAGTGCAGCTAGAATCATTGTGCCCCATACAGAGATCCATAAAAATTGTAAATCTTAACTCAAAACATCCAAGCAAACAAGATATCAATAACAAAAAATTTCATACATGTATGAAATAGCATAAAGATGACACATCTTACATCATAAAAGCCAATAAGTCCCTTGCAAAGGTCTGGCATATCCATCAGCCAGACAATCTAGGGAAAATAAAGCTTACCTTAAAATATAATTACTAGTACAAAATGTTCAAATTTTCAGGAGCATACTAACCCTGTTTGCCCAAAAAAGTCCACAGGCATTGCAAAGTGATCTAGGACCAGATGGTCCACGCCGCATCATTGGGGTAGCCATTGAACTTGTGCCACAATTTGTGCATCTAGAGAAAGCACAAAATTGCAAGGATGAAAATACAATTGCTATAATGTTGAATTCTAGAGAAAACATCTTAGTGCTGAAACAATTGTTTCAGATTGCTATAATTTATAAGACCATGAAAACTCACAAAGTTTCTAGTGGACTTTCTTCTTGAACTTGCTCTGAAACACTACCATGGCTGTATGAACCATCAGGCTTCTTGGAAGAAGTAAACTGTCCTTTGTTGCGTTGCATCCTGCAATTGTTTGGACAACTTAAGTAAGAGATCAAAAACCCAAAGTTCTTTAGAAAGCAAAAGCTTAGAGAACACACAA